ACAAATATATCACAAAATAATTCAAATAAATTATGTTCATTACAATTAAATGGTGGGATATCAACATTTTTTAAATAAGCTAGTAATCTTTTTTTTTAACAAACATTTATTGGCAACGCTTTAGGACAATATGCGCGTTCTTCAATTAGTGTGCCATGTACATTACTCGACGAAATTAGTTCACTTCGGCACGTTACACACTTGAGCTTTTGCAATGGTTTTCGTGCCATATAACCAGCAATATATGCATGGGTGTTTGCTGCTATATCACTCGTGCTGCTGCTTTCACCTTCAACTTCTTCTGGGTCCTCTTCTTGCTCTTCATGCAATTGCGTATTGTTTGTTTTTGTAATGATCGTAACAAATTTTTTTAATTTTTCAAAGCCTGGCCAGCTATCGTCTTCTTCACAATTTGCCCCTGGTGAATGGGAGGAGGCGAAATTATTGACCAACAAGGTTTTATAGTTGTTCTTAAACGCTGTGCATGTCGGATTAATGTTACGTACACCGTGCATGCGAATACAGCCAAAAAAATTTTCCAAGGGATCCTGGTTCAAATTTCTTGGCAAGAGAAATTTAAAACCAAGACCTTGTAGTTTCTTCCATAACACATTTAATCCCTGAAGTGTTTTAATCCAATTTCGTATTGTCGGAGGCACAAATTGTTTTTGTTCAATCTTGTTCTTGCTTAGAAATTTAATAGTCTTTAAAACATCGATTGCCTCTTTCCAAAAAGTTAAGTGAGACGACGAGTTGGTGATAGCACACCGTAACATTTTACCACTTTGAGGATGGATGGTTGATCCGTTTAATGAGTCAAAAAGTTTGTCTGCGAATAACAAAAACTTTGCAGTACCCTCTGCCGTTGGTGGTAATTCTCCAGGTGCTAAAATTATAAAAACAAAAAAACACAATTACTTAAAAGTTAAAAAAAAATTATTATTTAAAATATTTACCTAATCTGTTTATTGCTGTTAAAGTGGATGACACTCGTCTAGACAAAACTTGAGCGGCAATCTTCACTTTCATGCTTTTTACCTTTCCCGGTATGACGTGGGCCTCTGTTAAATGGTTTAACATTTTAGTGTCAAAATCGCCAACATCCAGTTCATATAGTGTAGTAATATCTTTCCATGAGCCTCTCATTGGTGAGTCTGTCTTCCATACAAAGGAAACGTCATGAGTTAATAAATTATTCCGCAAACCCTTCAGAAGGTGAGGAGCGTCGAAAAGGGAAATAATGTCCTTATTATCAATGGAAAAGCCTACACCTTTGTACTCATTTCCTCTACGAAGAGCTTCCGATTGTGAATCTAAGCGCAGTTGATTAATCGCTTTAACGTTTGTGCTCATCTGATCACAGACAGTGGCTATTACATGGAGGCCAATTTTTTCGCATGCTCTTATTGCCTCTTTAATGTTGCGCATGACATCAGCAACTGACATACCATGTTCTGTGAAAAAGTTGGCAATTGGTTGCTTCCATTTTTTGTGTATTCCCCTTAGCATAAACACCATAGCATGGTCGGCAAATTATAGACATTTTTCTTCGCCGCAATCTACAAACCCCTCGATTGCATCTCTCTTCACATCATAATACAAACTAGGTTCTATCGCCATTTCATCAAAAAGAAGAATACAATATTTATCAAATTATTTCATGGTGGGCACTAATTCTTCCAAAGTCTTCAGGACAGCCATATTTATACCGGTGTTGAAAGAAACTTTATTTAACAGTGTCATCAAAGTTTTACGGCTGGGAAGAGCAAACATTTTCCTTAACAAAGTGTACGCTTTGGGACTTTGCTTAGCCAATGTCAAGGCAAGAATCTTGTCATCCAAGGTATATCGACGCCCAGTCTTCTTTCTCTTCTGATTTACCAACTGATTCATAAAAAAATGTGTAAGAGGCGTCATTGACACTCGCCTTAACAAATTTTTCAGTAATAGATAATTTCAGAGCGTTCGTTATTCTTGTCTTGTTGGATAACTTCTGGTAACGTCGCGCACTTCGCTTGTAACGCAAGGCTAGTTCATAAAGTTTCTGTGCATGCACACTTTGGAATTTCTTTTTCTGGGTAACGTTTACCCTTGCCAAAATGGAATGTAGAAAAAAAAAGAAAACAAAATTATATTAATTTATAAGTTCATTAAACACTTATTAAACACGGACAAATTACTAATAAAATTTAATAAAATACTTGATATTAAATCTTTCTACATTTACCTCTTTTTAGTTGAGGAACAAATTTGGTAATAGGATCTATTTCACTTTCACCAGCCTTGGGTGTACTGGCCCGGGCACTATCTTCTATCGGGGCTTTCCCAGAATTCGAAGATACACCTTGCTGTACATCATTACCATCGTCATCTTGCTGTTTTGGATTTCTAACCCCTAATAACTGAACCTCACTGTATTTGGAAAACCCTTTTGGTACTGAAAAAGATTATTTTATAAATTAGTGCTCTTCAAAATCACCAACATATGTTACCTTTATTCTTGCAAACATAAAAATAAAATACAAACATCCAAAACGGACAACATAGTTGGAAAGAGTAAAACTTTAAATTTAGAAAATCCACGAAAAATCCAAGAAAATATACAGTACAATATTAAATAAATCATAAATTCACAGTACTTACAGTTCAAGTGAAGATTTGGAACTGCTGTAGCCTTTAAACCAGTTGTACCACTCTTTTGATATCGCAGCTCCATGGAAAAATGCATGTCACATATTCTCCGATTCTTCCTAACTACTTCGAAAGGTTTTTTCAATAAGTCATTATTGTCAATTTTATCTAACCATTTCTTAAACAACTAAAATATATTATATTGTTAAGTTACACTGTTGATTTTTAGATAATAAGCTAATTCCTCTATCACATAGCTAATAAGAACCACTTTTTTTTAAATTTCAAGTTGTAAGTGATAAATGGTTCTAATAGCTCTGGTTTCTTGAGAAAGCATTTTACTCACCTCTTCATCACGTGGGAACACATGCATGGTAACACTTTTCCCATTGGAAGGACAATTTGGCACACAACAGTAATTAACCATTTTGCAAACTAAAACGAAATAAAAATTATACAAAATAAAACTATCACTAATATAAGCTAAAAAACATCAACCTTAATTGTTCTTTCAGTTACTCACTTCATTAATCAATGTTAACATTAACAATACTTTCCTTTTCAATCTTCTTGTCACTATTCGTTATAAATAAACTACAAGCCTGCTATAAACAGTTTTTAGATTATTTCTTAGACAACTAAAAATCAAAAATGTGAACATTAATTCAATCGGTAAAGAAGCTGTTCTTGTGTTGTATGCTATCAGCGCCAAAGGTATCACGGGTCACAACTAAATTTATTATTGACGCATGCTTATACGGAATTAACACAGCATGTTTCTACCGGTTTCGACTGTGCAACAGTCATC